AAACACATTTCCTGTTTAATGCAGTGCCCTAACGCTCATCAGCACTTTGCTAGCCTAGTGAACATGTGCTCAGGCCTGCCCAACTTCAAGTGTCCCCTCAGTGACAAGTGCATACCCCCAGTAAATGGTGCTGTGGGAGTGGTACCAGCAAAGCTTGACACTGGTTTCTTAAAGAAAGAGCCCTCTTCCTGGCCTGTGGAGAGGGCTGCAGGCCAGGGAGCTACACTGGGACTGTGGGCAAAGGCAATGAAACTGTACGGTTCTAACACTGCAGTAGGCTCCTATGGCAAACAGCTCTGCATCTCCCTCTCAAGACAACTGGAATGCATAGGAGCCACTGCCCATAGAATTAAGCCAGTAGGGTCAAAGTGAGTGGTTGCCTCCTTTGCTCATGCCTGCTGACAGAAACAAAGAGTTCCCCAGCATGTGAACACAGGATCACCATGGCTGCATCTACTGCAGGGCTTTGGCCATGCGGGGAGCTCCCAGCTGGCTGACACAGATTAAATGAGGGGCGACTGAGAAGCGGACAAGTGAATGGGTGTTCAGCGCTGTACTGCAGAAGGCTGGTCCTCACCTGATCCAGGCACTGGCTGCGGATGTAACGCATCGCCTGCTGGATGCTCTGCGGCAGAGGCTGCCCTGTCCTCTGCACATTGATGATTGGCGGGACCCCAAAAACCATTTTGTCCCGGTAGTCGGGGGCTTTGCTCCTCTTCATGAATTTGGGGACAGTCCTGTGAGAATCGGAGAGAATGGGACAGAGGGAAGACAGGCCAGTCAGAACAGCATCCATTTGCCCTGGACAGAAGCTTCCAGCAGCAAGCAGAAGGTGAGTTGGGGACACACATGTGCATACTGTATGCACAAAATGTGCATGCACGCCTCATATGAATGGATGCACACATGCAGGGACACATGTGCATACTGTATGCACACAATGTGCATGCACGCCTCATATGAATGGATGCACACATGCAAAATGCACACACCCCAGTGTGCTTGCACACGCATGCTTCTATACCATATGCACACAGGCATGCATGCATGCACATGAATACATACACGAGCTCACATACAGGCAATTCCATTTTGTATTGATACTCTCAGGCACAATAGAATCCCTTCTTCAATCCCAAAGCGATTCACAAACAAAATCCATTCAGCGCTGCCGAAATCAAATGCAGTAATTTCTGGGGTGGAAGGCAGCAGCCAGGGGAACTGCCTACCGCAAACACACAGGGAGCCCATGCAATGTTTCATGTCCATGCAGAACAAAGAGGGCTTCTACCTCCATCACCTGACACACACGTGGGACTCACTATCTGCCACAGGATGAAAGGCTGAGTCAACCCTGCTGGGATCTGAAGCTCTGGATTCAGGGATCTCATTCTTGGCCCCATTCAACCATCCCCTTCAGCTTCCCTTCCCCACTCCTGTTTGTCCCCCGCTCACCATGCCCAGGCTTGCTTGTTTGGCACTGAGTGCTTCTCCATGATGGCGGTGAGGCGAAGCAGTGAGCACTTCTGCAGCAGGTTGAGCTGAGCAGAAGACTGGCGGTTGATCTCCAAGGAGGCGGAGTTCAAGCTGGGACGATGGGAGTTCTGGAAACTGTGCCAGCGTAGCTTCCTGCAGAGGGCAGCCGGGTGAGGGAGAAAAAGGTCACACCACTTCCCCGGGGGAGGAAAATACCTGCTTCCTGTGCTGCCAACGCTCCTGGGAGCGGAGCAGGTGTCCAGCAGTGGGCCAGCAGGAGGAGCATCCTCCTCCTGCAGGGACTGGGATATGAACTGCCTCAGTCCACGGGAGGGCTGGTCCATTACAGTGTCCAAAACAGCCCTTCCATACAACAGGAACACAGCAGGGGCATTCCCATGGAGAACCCCTATGCCGCAGGGCCTAGACTCTACTATCTTGCCATCCTGCCAGGTATTTACATCACAGCCCTCCCAAGGGTACCAGTATGCAGGAGAGAGACACGCAAGTGTGCACATCTTTCACAGAACACGACGTTTGCTTTGGGTGGGATAACGGGAAACAACATTCCAGTTTGGCCCTGCATCTTCCCAGAGAGCTGTGAAACAAGGATGACATTCCCCCCTCCCCCGCCGTTTGGCAGAATGAAGGCAACCAAAAACCCTCACCGACTTTCTGCAGGGAGCTTGCTGACAAGCTCTGACCCAGCTGCACTTTCCCAAGCCCATGGTGTTCTGAAAGGCCCCTGAACACCCTTCACTGCACTGGGGTAAATCTCCAAATACAAGGGGTGTGAGTGACTTTCCCTGCTGACTTTGGTCAGGTCTAAAACCCACTCAGCAACCACCCACCAGCAGAGGAGTTACATTCCACTATCTAACCATGCAGGCACTAGTTGACTTAGGGCAACCAGGAAGCTGAGGTGATACCAGAGCTTTTCAGAGGGACCTTCATACCAGGTGAACCACTCCACTTTACCCTATTTAAGAGCAAGTCCATGGACAGTAACCTCCTGACTGCATAGTATTTTAGGTCAAAGTGACAAAGCACGTCTGGTGGGGTGGAACCGGGCGTGCACGTGACAACTGAAATTGCCGATATGAAGGTTGCTTCCAAACTGGCAGTAGCAAAGGGCAGATGAGCATGCTGGTGCCTTCTGAATGCTCTTAGTGCTTGCCTCAGGCCGCTAGAGGGCACCAGAGACTCAAGCAAGTTCACCAGCTGCCCTTAGGAACCCAAAGTAAGTCCCACACAGTGGCTCCTTAAGCAACTGCTTCTGAACAAGGTGGCCATTCCTTCCATGCTGGCAGTCACAGTGTCCGCCCCTATGCCAATACCAGCCTGCTGCCTGTGGGGCCAATATCACAATGACATTCCCTCCTCTCCGGAGTGCTGGTGGCTATGGGGAACTGCACAATAAGCAACTGTCAGGGTTCATGCAGGAGAGGATGTTAGATCCAGGACCAAAGGGGTCTCTCAGAAACAGCAGAGCCCTCACACTGTTCTCTAGTGGCCTCTCATGACTGACCTACGTAAAAGCGGTGCTGAGGCATTGGATGGGACTCGCTTCCTACTTTGGGAAAGACTGGAATGCAAACTGTAAGCAGAAGTCTGAGAGTATCCTCCCAAGGAAAAGCCTTGCAGTGCACTCAAGGCCAGCGGGTTGCACATGGGGAAGTCCGCCCCCAGACTAAGCTCTTCACTTGACACCCACTGTTATAAGGATGCTGACCTGCCAGCAATAGGCATGTCTGAGGGGAGTCAGCGATGCATCCAACCCACCTACCTGCAAGGTCTCGTGAGGGACGCTCCCACACCGGAATCCCTGCGCTCTCGCACCTCAATCTCTTCTCCCTCATTCAAGGAGTTGCCCGTGCTGTCGAAATCGCTGGCGGAGGTGCCCACATCGGACATGGACTGCTCTTCAAAGTTCAGGTTGGAGGGGAAGGTGGGTTCCCCTCCCGAGTCCGTCTCCTGTTCCTCTTCTCCATCTCCCTCTCCATCCAGATCGGGGCTGAGCGCCTTAGACCAGAGCTCCACCTTTCGCTGCAGCCCCCAGACATCCTGCAAGATGTCATCAAGGTTTTTGTAGATCACCTCCCCATCCATGCTGAAGAGATCTTCGCTGCTCCCAAACTCGGGCATGTTGTCGTACATGCTCGTCTGGCTACCCACGGAGCTGCATGACCCCCTCCTCTGCCGGCACACAAAACCTTGAGGGGAAGAGTCTTCCAGGCTGCTGCTGCTGCCCCCCAGGTTACACCCTGAAAGCCCCACTGTTTTGTTCCCAGGTTTCCAGTGGGCCAAAGGGCTGCCATCGAGAGGACACAAGCTTTCGATGGAGAGAGATTTAGGGAAAGTCCCTGGCTTGTGGTCCCCAGGGAGGTGTATCAGGCAGTTGCCCTTGTACACATGCCCATAGCCCAGTTCTCCAGCAGCCCAACTGGTGCTATTTTTCAGGGCCGTTTCATAATCCTCCAGATAGACCCCACTGCGTCTTAATTCAGAGCCCGGTTTCCTCTCACCCGAGTCTGACGTGCGATTAGTCTTATATCCCATAGAGAGAAAGTGTTTGTTGCCATGGAAAGAGGAGGACATTCCTCTTTTAGGAGAGATGGTTGTGGCAGCAGTAAGGTGCCCATTGGCCTTTGCAGAATGAAGCCCTGGTTTGGTCACTGTTCTGCCACTGATGGCATCCTTTGCTTTGGAGTCAGATTTCTCTTTGTCCTTCCTTCTGAGAGATTCTATCCTTTTTAGGAAGCTGCGGGATCTCCACCTCTTGGACTTTTCCTTAGCACTCCCACTCTGGGTTGGGGACTGGTCTGCCAAGCAATGGTCATTCAAGCTTTGGCTGGATTTGGTGATATTTGGAGAGTCCCGGCTGGGTGACACATCAGGCGGGGTGACCACAGTGCCAATTGTGCCACCAGTGCTGGTATTGCTGTGGAGAGAAGTAGCTTCCAGATTAGCACTGAGGTCTGTAAGGATGCTCTCATGGCTGGATGTCTGCCGCATGGTGGAGTTCAGCATCTCTGGACTGCGGGAGAGAAAGTCAACAGAGCCAATTCTGGACCACCTTTTGCTGTCCCTCTGGAAGGCCCATCGGTCGCTGATGGCACAAAGATCTTCTTCCTCTGAGTCTTCATTCTAAACCAAGAGTAAGGATCACAGAGTGAGACACAATCAGCTGGGTCTTCTAGTCTGATCAAGTTTTGCATGGCTACCCACCAAGCACCCACCTAAAGTTGGGAGAATTTACAGTTGTATAACCACATCTTCTCTGGATGGGGACCCGTGTTATGTACAATACACTTTAAGACACCCAGTAAGCACTCTCCATCTCCTATGCAATTACTTTTCATAGCAGAGGGATCAAAAAACCTTTAAGTCTCAATTTTTCCATTCTCTAGCACAGATGCTCTTGAGTGCTTCGTCCATGCTAGTTCTAAATATTTCATAGTGTGGATGCAACCAGTCCCCAGGGTTACAAAGAAGGGGGAAACCATCTTTCCATCCAAACAGACTGCAGAATTTGGCATAGTATCTTGATGCTCTGCCTTTCTCCCTCCTGCCAGGACTCACTGGCAAGGCATCTCAGCAGAAGCACACCATACGGTTGTAGATTAAAAAGCGCTGTCATTTCCACCCAGCCAATCCCAGAGTCTTTACACTTAGAACAAAGGGTTCCTTGCCACACAATGGAATGAGTCCTACAAAGGACAGCCTGCCCTGAGTCCATTGTAACTGACCCAAAGCATGTGGGATAGATGGAAGCTGCTGTTTTCTTGATACACTTGCTGGTATGCAAAGGGTCTCTGGGGTCACAAATCAGGTGATGGGATAGAACAGCTCATGGCCTTGCCAAGCCAGCATATAAATCAGAGATCAGAAGACGCTTGTCTTCTAGTGCCCCCAGCAGTTGTTACAGAATCTAAGTTTTCACTTCAAACTGGGGTGTGTGCCTGTGTTCCCTGTAAGCTTAGCACTTGTGCAGCCACTCAGGAGAGATTCGAATGCCATCCAACTGACTAGCAGAGTACCCACAGCTAGGGTTTTGGTTTCTACTGCTGGTGCACATCTAAACATGTCTTGGCGCACACAAAAAAGCTTATTCTGCACACGGATAGAAAAAATCGGCACAAGATGTAAGAGATTAAAGGGAACACTGGAGAACAGAGTGCATTCTGGTGGAGGGCAGGGTGTGAGAAGTTGCTCTTCCTTCAGGAGAGCAGTAGCTACTGGCTGGGCACACAGCTCTGAAGACAGTGCCACCACCAGCAGCTGTGAAGAAGTAACTAAGGCAATGCCATGCCATGCCACCCTTATTTCTGCACGGAAGCTGGCAGCAACACTGCCTTCAGGGCTGAATGCCCAGCCAGCAGCTGCCGCTGTTGGTTCTGACTTCAGAACTGGGCAACCGGGATAGAGGAGGCGTAAACTTGGACACAAAGAAGGGAGGTGCAATCAAGAAAGTTTGAGAACCACTTGTCCAAGAAGAGTTTCCTATAGTAAGGAGCACTTTCATTAGAGCCACCACTAGAAAGCACTCAGAACACCATGGGTATATATCCCCACACTGAAGTGACCAAGCACACAAATGTACACTACAGTAGAAAAATTAAAGCAATTTAGTGTAAGACCTGGTCTAAAAATAGGGAGAAAACAGGCCAAAATGTTTTAACTGTTTCCTGCCAAAAGCCAACATTCACAATTGTTTTTAGCAAAACTATTATCTAAGCGATAACAACAGCTACTACCGAGCAATCACAAAGCTTTGGTGGTGAGGTGAGGTATGTTAGGAGTTAATAAGTAGCAGTGTCTTCCGAAGAGGGAGTGTAAGGGCAATCAGGGTACGCATACAAAACATCATTATTTCAAAATAAGTTAGTCCGTGTCTACACACCAGGCAGTTATTTTGACATATCAAAATACTGTCAAGCTGAGGACTTCTTACTCCAACTCCTGCAACCCTTATTGTACAAGTAAAGGGAGTCAGAGGAAGAGTGATCTATATAGAAGTAAGTGCTGTACAGATGCTCCAAATTTTGAAATAAGCTATTTCAAAATAAGCTATGCAATTGACATAACTCAATCTGTGTAGCTTATTTTGAGTTAAGCCCTGCTGTGTAGACGCACCCTCAGCTGCTATCAAAACCTGTATTGGGATTACAGTTTTGGGGACAGCCATGACATTTTTCCCAGCCCACATCCTGATTTCTTGATCTGATAAATCACACAACATTTTTACTAATTCAGTTAGATTTATCCCTAAATGCTATTGTCCAAGTGACAATCTCCTCTATCTATGGCATTTCTACTTTTAATGTAGCTACCCTCACAGCTTGGGCACTCAGTGAAGCTGGCACAAACAGCTTGAAGCCATCCACTTGGTCCCAAGCCCCTTTCCACCTCATTTTCTCTCTCTTGTTTGTGTTCTGCAGAACCAGAGATCCGGACACTGGAACAATGTTCCAAAACCATGATCCCTTCCTGCAATTCTGCAGGACAAGTGGGGACCTTTGGCATATTAAGGTGCAGAGCCTGCAGCTGCCACAGAGAGCAGGTGGGAATGGAAAACATGAAACCATAATAAACAATGTTTTAAGAGAAGCATTTTATTGTCTGAGACACATGGGTTAGTTATATTACCCCCTAAGGGAAAGTTCCCCATGGGGTTATGTTTCCTCACTCATTCATTCTGCCAGACATTTGCTCAAGGAAATCCCCTTCTAGTTCATGTTTAACTGCATGGCACTACATTATGGCTGGGCTGGAAGCAGCTGCAATCAGACCCCTACTGATGGTTACCATATGAGATATCTGCAGTAAGTCTCTTGGTGATGGGAGCTCATTTTAAATTAGAGGCCTAAGATCGAATCTGGATGACCCCAAGGAAAGGGCTTGCTGAAGCAGCTTCTCCAATGCTCTGAATGCTTACAATATGGATCTCATAATGTTACAGTGAAACTTGACAAATGGGAACACAAAACTGGCCATGGACAAGCTCAGGCATTCAGCAGAACAAACCAACAAAGGAGAGAGGAGGAAACAGGAAAAAAAAATCAGAATACTTCCTCGGAGAAATCCTCCATCTGGCATCAGGAGTGGGATGACAAAAATAGATATTAATATATGGGAAGCAAAGCAATGCTGGCAGGACCCTAGAGAGCATGGTTTTAAAAGTCAGCCACAACTGCATGTCCCTCGAGATCTGCTAGAGCAGGGCTCTAGATGCTCTCCATGAGTGCACCTGAACTTACTAGAGAGACTAACTTGTCAACAGCCTCCTCTACCTGCAGGGAAGGAGACCGTCTCTGCATTTCCTGGAATCCACCTGCCCCTCTTCTCATATTCACAATCTCAGATCACCTCCTGGAAACTACAGCAATTACTTATGTAGAAAGATACCATTAGGAAAGAATCCATTACAGATTTTTCCAATGTAATTTAGCAGCTGTACTGAGGAGGCTCAGTATAGTACAGGGGTGGGCAATAATTTCTCAAGTGGGAGGAGGGCCACTTCATAAATTTTGGAAGTGGCTGCGGGCCGACCCAGAAGAGGCAGGGTCTCGGACGGAAGGAGTGGGGTTGAGAGCTACCCTACTGGGAGCTTTGTTTGGCATGGGATCCCTCCCCCCCACTTCCAGCCAGTGAAAGGGCTCTAGAGCAGATGGGAGAGTGCTGGGTGCTAGAATCCTCCCAGAGTTGTCTGGGATAGAGGCTTAGAATTCACACAACATGGTTGGCAGCTCCTGGCTCCCACTGCTAACCTGTTATCTGGAAGCTGCCTGGCAGGCACAAGCCCTTTGAACAGAAGCAGATGAAAGGGCTTGCACCTCACAGGCAATGGGCCAGTGGGACGGAGAGCTGCGAGCCCTTTCAATTGCTTCTGCTTAAAAGGCTTGCGCCTGCTGGGTGGCTGCCAGGCCATGCAGCCCCAGCCCTTTAAATAGAAGCAGCTGAAAGGGCTCGTGCATTTCCAGCTCCCTAGCAAAGTGCTAGAGGCGCTGGGAGCTGCGAGCCCTTTTAATGGTTTCTATTTAAAGAGTTCTCGTGTTCCCCGCAGCTGCCAAGCAACACGTTGCCTGACAGGCATGAGGAAGGCACAAGCCTTTTAAATAGAAGCAGCTAGAAGGACTCATAGCTCTGGCACTGCTTGTGCATTGCTAGGGAACCAGAGACACGGGAGCCCTTTCAACTGCTTCTATTAACAGGGCTCACACCTTCGTCAGGGCTGCTAAACTAGGCGCAGGGAAGACGCGAGTCCTTTCAACAGCAGCAGCTGAAAGGGCTCGTGCGTCTCTGGCTCCCAGGCAATGTGCTAGGGGGCGAGGCCTGGAACTGCCTCGCGGGCCGGATCCAGCCCACTGAGAGGCTTTTGCCCACCCCTGTACAGCATGACAAATCATGGAGCACACTCTGGCCCAGGCCTTCCCCCTCAATCCTGCAGCAAGCAAGCAGGGCTCCTAGGTAGCTGTGCTTTTCCTTTATTCAGAGCTAAGCAGGAAGACCCAGGACAGAGCAGAGGAAGGCATCTGAGCTTGGAACGAAACGCCGCTTACCTGAATGAGTGTTGGAACTGTTCATTTTTAAACACAGGCGCTTTGCCCCATCCTTGTGTATGTGTTTTCCCCACAACGCACCGGGGTCTTGTTTATACCCCTGAAAGCTCACCACCTACCTGTTTATGCTGAAAGTGGACTTCCAGCTTCATAGAGGCACATGTGTTCAGTGTCATCAGCCTCCTGCAAACAAACAAGAGACGCTTTTGTCTGGTTTGGTTTTCGGCTTTTGCAGTGGGCTTTTTTCCTTAGTGGCTCTTGGTGCAGCACTGCCACCTGTCACCAAACAGCTGGTGAGAAGTGGCTGCACAGAGCATGAGGCAGGCCCCAAATCATTTCCAGCCAAGTGCAAATTCCCTGTCTGCAGTGCTTATTTGTGCCATAGCTGGGCCAGGATTGAGACCCGGCACCTCTGGGCCTGGTAGCACATGGCCCCGGCACCTCTGGGCTTGCTGCATCAGATATAAATGTAAAAAACCTGTTTGAGCCCGGCACCTCTTTCATTACAGACCAAGCCTTGCCCTGCTGGCACCAGAAGAAGGGTGCTGCTGAATGGAATGAAGCTTCTCTGGACTCCTTGTGTTTCCCGTTTCCCAAGAGTGAAAGCAGAACCGTGTGTGCCTTGGCACCTCCCCTGAAGAGTTCAGACCGCTCCAACATGCCCATGGCCTGAGTGCTTTAATCTCACGCCAGAGCAATTTCACAAGCATCCAAGCCAGAGAGATGCCATGCTCCCTTTCAGTACAAGTCCCTGGAAATTCTGGCCAAACTGCAAGTACCTGCAGCTCCTCAGGTTACACCCAAGCTTACTCTCCCTGTGGCCAGCATCAGATTCAGCTCCCACAGTTGCTTGTGTGTGCCTCATGATTGCGTTTTACATCCCATGTTTGACTTTGGTACCAGAAGCCACTTCCTACCCTTTTTGAAGTTTGTTTCTTACCCTTTCCATGGCTAAAAGTTGACCCCATTCACTGCTGCTGCAATGTGACTGGGCCTCAGAAGCTGTTCTCTACAGAGGTGCTGAGCCAGGCACTTGTGGCCATGCCAGGGAACGTAAGGGGTGGATGCATGTAATGGAAATATCCAATACATCACTGTGGCACTGAAGGGGTTACACGTCTTA